TATAATCTCGCTGAAACGCAAAGGGTTAGTGGTGTGGGGGTGCGAAAGAAAATTAAAAAACTTTATAAGGAACCAGAAACTCAATTCTAAACAGAAACCAAGGGATAAACCTCTACTCCTGCTAAAAGACGAGGAAGGTAGAATATCTCTGTTGGGTCTGTAATAACTTTTTAGAAAGGATACCAATGGAAACAGGTTAGTCGTTTATCCGCATAATTCGAACTCCCCGTGAAAAGTTGGTAGTTTTTAACGTTCGAATCTGGGAAGGTTAATGCTATTACATTTGACAATGAGTTCTTCACGGCTTGGAAAGAAGCTAATTCTTTTTGCGGTTAAAATCAGTTGTTTTGCATTAGAATGCAATCGGATAGATTCTGTGCGTGGAAAATTAAGTCACTAATCTTTGGTTTTATTTTCTGTAAAAATTGACCATGCCAATAAATCGTCGTAATGTTTTTTAATCATTGGGGGGAGGAGGAGAACTGTTCAGGTTTGGTTTGTTTTGGGTTTACGGCATATCAACCTCTATGGGTTATTTAATTCCGACAAAATTTTTATTGTTGCTAATATTTTTTTTTAAATCTATTTCTGGTAAAAATTTTCCTTCAAAAATTCTATTTCTGGTGAGAATTTTCTTTCAAATAAGTATCGCTGGTATCTGCCTATATTTATGAGATGAGGTATTATGTACATTATTTACATTATTCGGACTATTGCCCTCATCTTTGTCGCCATATTTATTACAACGTTTCGGCCTTTCATCATCTCTCTATATTTCTGAGAGGAGGTATTATGTACATTATTTACATTTTTCGGACTATTGTCCTCATCTTTGTGGCCATATTTATTTCAACGTTTCAGCCGTTCAGTATATGTCTATATTTCTGAGATGAGGTATTATGTAAATTATTTACATTATTCGGACTATTGTCCTCATCTTTGTCGCCATATTTATTTCAACGTTTCAGCCGTTCAGTATCTGTCTATATTTCTGAGATGAGGTATAATGTACATTATTTACATTATTCGGACTATTGTCCTCATCTTTGTCGCCATATTTATTACAACGTTTCGCGCTATCATTATCTGTCTATATTTCTGAGATGAGGTATTATGTACACTATTTACATTATTCGGACTATTGTCCTCATCTGTGTCGCCATATTTATTACGACGTTTAGGACACATGCCGCAGTGGATAAAGTCGTTAGTTAGATCAAGTGTCAGGACCCAACGAGTGTGAGTTCAATACCCGGTTAAGGCAGTGGAGAACCTAGAGAGGGGAATTAACAGGAGATAACTGATATCCATTAAAACATTGCACGTAGAACTAGAACAGTTTCCTGCAGTGAGCGAAATAAAGGGTTAAGTTCGACATTCTAACCACCTGAAGAAGGTCCGGGCGTACAACGGTCGAAACATTGTAATAAATATGGCGACAAAGATGAGGATTATAGTCCGAATAATGTAAATAATGTATCGCTGGTATTATTTGTCTTTTTTTTCAAAAAAGGTATAGTTGTTAATATATATATATATTTGGTAATATTTGTTTTTCAAAAATGCATTGCTGGCAAAGTTTGGTTTTTCAAAAATGTATTGTTGGTAATAATTTTTTAGAACAAAGTGTCATCGTAATCGGCGGCACAATTACAATCAAATGCTGTCCGATCCAGAACTGTTCAGATCATGATTCTTATTAGCACGGGCAATAATTCCTTCGAAATATTAAATCCCAAGAAGTCCAATGCTGCAGCACGGAAAATACATTTTGAAATAGAAACCTTCAAATCGTACTGACTTAGCTTCCGAAATATTTGGCCCAGATGTTTAGAATGAGAAATCTCATCATAGGAGTATATTAGAATATCATTTATGTACACAAATGTACACTCTGTTACATGTCATCCATCATCCAATGGGAGGTAATTACGGCGTACTGTAGCACAAAATGTATGTAGTTATATTTAGCTAATTCCAGTTCTGTCAAGATAGCAGTTTCACATACTTCATCAGGATGAACTGGTATCTGGCGATATATCGAGGAGGGATCAATTTTTGAAAATACTTGTTCCTATGTAATTTCGTAGCTCGTGAATTGATATGGTATATTGGGTAGCGGTCCGATTTCGTAATGCTATTTTGCGACGCTGTTGTGACACTGGTAATAAAAAAAAATTAGGACTAAAAGGGTTCATGGGAAAACCCCATGAAAATTGGAGAAAATTAGTTAAAACGTTAAAAAAAACGTGAAAACATGAATTGAAATATGAAGCGAAGGAAAAAAGAGACTTTTTTCCCCTCTTTCTGATAACCAGAAATGCCGAATGGAATGTCGAGTCCAAAATATGCTTTTGAGAAAATAATTAATTGATGAATAATTAATGAGTTTTGAGGGGCGCTAAGAATTGGGCGAAATGTATATAAACCGAACGCTTAGTTGAAGCCAACAGTTGGAGCAAGAGGCGACCAGAAGCCACGTGAGGCCAGCAGATTGCGCCAGAGGCGGAATAAGCTACATGACCTGCTGCCGACACACAGAATTCCGGACGACCATCTTGTGCGAATATTTTGACCCACTCCAAGTTTTAGAAGCAAGAGACACAATGTCACGATAGAGAGTCTAAAGCGAAGAGTTAATTTTCTTGTATCAACGACTATATAAACCAATTGAAAATTAATCCTGGGACATTCTTCGTTATATTTGTGTTTTCACCAGCGAAAGAATTCTTTATCCTTTTTCATAGAAACCGTCCTGTCAACCCGTTCAGCGCTTAAGTAAGGACAAAAATTCGATCTCCACTGCTCGGTGATCAAATAACACAACGTGGGGCAGGGCAGATGAAGAACCGAAGCAGTCAGTAGATAACCATCAGTTGATCTGACCAGCGTGGGAACAACCCAGGATCGACTCGGACCGGCCGTGTTTTAATTTAACTGTCTGTAGTCACCTACAGGCCTCTATGTGCCAACCGATTTCGACACCATATGCAGTGCCGAACTCCACTGTGATTTGGAAGAGGAAATTATGCCAGCTTGTCGAAGATTTTAAAATTCTTCCCTGGCTATATCAAACTTCTGCTTTGACGACTGTGCACTTTCGTAAATACTGGAGGATTGTTCCCTGTTTCAATTGGGTAAAATACTTTTGATTTTATTTTTTATTTTATTTTTTTTTTTTGCGTTAGGATCCTGATGAGTGGATATCAGATTAGGGTAGCTTCCATATTTTTAGTAAGGTTCCCTTCGCATTTTCATCCTCATGGATTGAAACGTGTAAAACAATTTGGCGCCACTTTCTCCGTTAGTAATTGTGTCAACCCATTTGTTTATTTTTACAATCAACTGTTAGTTCATAGGGACTTACAAAGTCATATCTCAAAAGTGCTTTCGTAGTGTTAGCCACAATTAATGTTCACTTGAAGATTCCCCTAAAGTTTTTTATAGCCAAGTTTTGCACAGTCTGTCTGGAGCACTCTATTTTGACATTGTTAGCAGAAACTAACGAGATATTTGTAGGGCATGGGTCTGTGTTTGTCAGGTACGTCTTTGGAATAATTCATACAGCAGCCCCAATGTCCTCAATGAATGTAATTTCCTGAACCTCTAAAAGTGGCGAGAAAGTGGAGGCCATCACCTCCCACCACAATAGTTTTTCAGCTTTCTCGTCATGTCCTGCCTTATTAAAATAGAGCAGTAGGTTGTCAGCCATCTTTCCAAGTCTTTCTGTTTCTAAATCCGTTTGTGCTGCCAGGAATGGTCTTATTTTAATCGACATTGTCTTCTAAATTTGTATCATAAGATGGCGATGTTCATTCCAATTTTTGTTGCTAACGTCATCAGTTCATTTAAATAAATGGATAGTGTGCCTGCAAGAGTGGACATTAATTTGTCAAGCATCTATGGCTTCGTCTTCTTATGCAACGTTACGACTGCTTTTTATGTTTGCTATAATCTCCCGACTGTAAAATGGTAGGTTGTAGCTTGTATACTGTCTCCAGCGGCAATGCAAGCAACACGATATAAAATTGCTGTATGGATGTCCCCATCCTCATAATGTTGAACTGTGTCTCCATAATTGAGAACTACATTCGATTCAATGAACACGGTTGGTTTAACGGATAATGTTTATATCGATTTGCCGACCTCCGTGGGTGTTTGATTCATCTCCTGTACGGTTGTACGACATGTTCACTTGTGATGAATGCAGTAAAAATAGGTAAGCGTTTCCTCGCACGTCAAGGGACACTAGATTATAGTGGCATTGGGCTTAGAGGTTAAATGAATAGTTGACTTGTCCCCACTATTAATGAAGGGTGATAATGACGAGGAAACTCAGGGGTAATTTTAACAAAGCAAGATAAGGAATTTATTCACGAATTTACATGCTTGAAGAAATGACGGTAGCTCATTTCAGAAAAATAAATCCGAATTCTTAAAGTCCGTAATTGCAACGTATTGTCATGAATAGGAATTTTTTATATAACAGATTAAATGATTTGACACAAAATAATATTAAAAAAATGTTTAAAACAAAGGTAAGAGAGTTCGTTGTTCACTTAAGGAATATAGGGTTTGTATACGATCAAAAGAGAGATAGTTGAAAGACTTAGCTTTCTTGGGTTGTTGAGAGAAACATTTTTGAAGTGTCGTGTGCTGGTTAGAGGCCAATAATATAATTGGCGGGTAAACTTACACTGGCGAGTACTTCAACGTTGGTCATGGGTAACTGAAACGAAAGCTTTCACATGACTTCAGACACTCTTCTGATTAATTTAATTTTTCTTCTCGCTTTATATCAAAAACAATTTTACAAATGATCGTGAATTTCTTTCCTTCTCAGTTCTCGGGTTAATTTCTGTGAAGGCAAGGTTTTCATTGGCCCAAATAAAGTTATACATAGGCCCGCGAAATTCTTTCCTTTTTCTTCCTCGGTCCTCCGAATTTGAAGGGAGTGGGTGAAGGGAGTTATTATTATTTTACACTCGCTACAGATATACTGAAAGAACTAGATAGATAGATAGATAGATAGATAGATAGATAGATAGATAGATAATGAAAAGGAGATTGATAGATATGAAAAAAATTAAATATAAGGAAGAGGAGATAGATAGATAGATAGATAGATAGATAGATAGATATGAATAAAAATGACAATAGGAAAACTGGTAATTGCTGACGCGTTTCGTCCAATGTGGACTTTATCAAAGCAAAATACGAAAAAGTCCACATTGGACGAAACGCGTCAGCAATTACTAGTTTTCCTATTGTCATTTTTATTCATAAATATTGTCTTCTCTACTGGTTAAATCGGAGAAATTTTCAGATAGATAGATAGATAGATAGGAATGTACTGAGATAGATAGATAGATAGATAGATAGATAGATAGATAGATAGATAGGAATGTACTGAGATAGATAGATTTCAACCTTCTATAAATTTTCTTGAAACTTATGAAGCAAACTATATCAAACAACAATGAACTTTCTATAAATCTAATATTGACAGTCGGCCTTTAATGTAACCCATAATTACTTATAAAATAAATATGTTTTTGGAGCAGCCGAGCATCTTGGAGTTTCACAGTGTAGCTACCCCCACCTTCTACCTGCCCGTTTGCCGATGCTTGGGAACTTTGGCTGGCCATGCAGAAAGAAATTCTCTCCACACAGACACGTTCTGTTTACCATATTGTCAAAGACTTTATAAACTCACTTAGAGTGTCAAGCCAGATGACAGTGGAATAAAGTGCTTCTATTTTTAGATTTGGCCTTATTAGTAGTCAAAATTACTTTCACTTTTATTCTGGAAGTAGGGGAGGTGGAAGAGAACGTTCCTCTCTTTCTAGCAATCTCATTCTTTAATGTCTACAGGCTAATAATATATCTTCCAGTTGACTTGTATATATGTTAGTCCGTGCATCGGCCTCTAAGTAAATAACGGATCACTCTCTTTAGCAATCGGCGCTAACTTAATACCTCACTCTTTTTATCTCTCTTTCTCTCTCTCTTTCTCTTTCTTGATTTGTATCTCTCTTTCTCTCTATCTGCTCATGTCTTTCTTTGTTCTTGTCAAGATTAGATATAATAGGATAGAAACAAAGACATGAATGACCAGACAGAGAGCAAGGGAGACAAACACGAGAAAAAACACTTTTCTCTCTAAATCACATATCATCTCTCTTTCTCTCTATCTAGTCATATTCCTTTACTCTTTATTTCCCTCTCGCTATCTCAATTTGAATCTCATTTCTAATTCTGTGTCTCAGTCGTCTATTATATCTCTATCTGCAAGTCATCTATTATCTGTCTGTCTATCTCACCCTCTCTCTCTCTCTCTCTCTCTCTCTCTCTCTCTCTCTCTCTCTCTGTTAGTTCAGATGCCATCTCTCACTCTCTCTCTCTCACTCTCTCTCTCTCTGTTTGATATATCGCTCTGTATCTATACCTCTCTCTGCAAGTCATCTATTATCTGTCTGTCTTTCTCTGTTAGTTCATATATCATCTCTCTCTGTTTGATATATATATATATATATATATATATATATATATATATATATATATGTATCTATATATCGCATCTCTCTTCTTATTTTTTAAGTGTTTCACCCCAAGCAAGGCGGGAAGTCACTAGGACGCAAGGGGTTACAGAAGATTTGGGGCAAGATCAGATAGGAGTGATAGAGGAAAGGATGAGGAGAAGGATAGTGGATAGATCAAGACAACTGGAGATGTCAATTGACATTACATTTGAATAGTTGTACTATCTCTGTGCTTGCGGGCTTACAGCCATATCATGGTGAAAATGCAGTTGCCATATGAATCACTGGAGTTAAGCAACGTGGAGTTTGGTCAGCCCTACATGGGTAACTACTTGGGAATACTAGGACGTATGGCTGTTGTAACTGGAAGTCGGAAAGCGGAGTTCTAATTCCAGTTGGGTTCGTTATATCTACTTTTGCACAAATACACTTGGGAAAAGTATAATTGCACTTCTTCTCGTGCCCCCAGCTATGGGTTAATTAGTAGGACTTGTATCAGTAAAATCACTATTAATTTCAAAAAAAAAGATTCTTACAATTTAAAAATATTTTCTGGTTTAAGATGCAAACGTTTGATAAGCTTCCAAAATCAATCAATTTCTGTGCCTTAGTCATTTCTTATCTGTCTATATCTCTGAGATGAGGTATCATGATTACTTGCATTATTTACATTATTCGGACTGTTATCCTCATCTTCATTGCCATATTCACAACGTAACATAACTGTACAGTATCTGTCTATATCTCTGAAATGAGGTATTATGATTACTTGCATTATTTACATTATTCGGACTGTTATCCTCATCTTCATTGCCATATTCACAACGTAACATAACTGTACAATATCTGTCTATATCTCTGAGATGAGGTATTATGATTACTTGCATTATTTACATTATTCGGACTGTTATCCTCATCTTCATTGCCATATTCACAACGTTTCGGCCGTTGTACGCTCCGGCCTTTATTCTATGTCCCTATATATCTGTCTATATCTCTGAGATGAGGTATTATGATTACTTGCATTATTTACATTATTCGGACTGTTATTATCTCATCTTCATTGCCATATTCACAACGTTTCAGCAGTTGTACGCTCCGGCCTTTATGTCTATGCCTCTCTATATATCTGTCTATATCTCTGAGATGAGGTATTATGATTACTTGCATTATTTACATCATTCGGACTGTTATCCTCATCTTCATTGCTATATTCATAACATTTTGGCCTTTGTACGCTCCGGCCTTCTTCAGGTCATACGAATTTTGAGCCGAAACCTTTATTTCGTCCACCAGTGGATAAAGACGTCGGTTAGATCCAATGACTAGACCCAAAGAGTTGTGAGTTCAATACCAGGCTACAGCAAAGGTGAACCAAACTTAGAGAGTTGAGTTAAAGGGAAATAACTGTCACTCAATCTATCTAATGCCTGTCTGTCTGTCTATCTGCCTCTTAGTGTTAGTTGGTTGCTATTTCATCTGTGGGTAAATAGGTTCTTTTTCTTATGCATGTCAGAAGTCACAAAATGTTATGGAGGATTCACTCACATCATGGTAGCAGAAATCAGCTTTGTGTCCACGGAGATAAAAGCATACTTGACAAGAAATAAAACGCACACAAATAACAGGAAAAGCATGGTAAATTGTATGTTAATTTCATGCAATTTATTTATATTTTTGTGTGTATTTATGTCAGTGTATTTTTTTAGGTTACAATTGTTTTATGGTACATGTGATAAAAGGGAGAATTTACTCTGTAGAATTACAAGCCATATCACAGAAAGACGTCGGACACGTGTTGCCCCTAACAAAGTTCGTGGTGAAGAGATTGAATTTAACGTCTTTTGGGGGGATGTCCGTAATTCCGACAGGAACAGTTTTTGTTGCATGCCGGGAGTATTTCAATTATTTTTAATTTTTATTTATTTTATAAAACGTTTTTATGTTATTGTTTTATTTTATTTTATTAATGATTATAATTATTATTTTATTTTTTATTAATTTGTAATAATAATAATAATAATATCCCTACACATCTCCCACCGTCCTTATCTGGTTATATCTAAGTTTCCCTATCTCTGTCAGTAAATTTGTCGCTCTGTGTATCTGCCTGTCTCCCCCACCTTTCTCTCTCTCTCTCTCTCTCTCTCTCTCTTAGTGCCAGTTGGTTGCTATTTCATCTCCTTCCGTCCTTACCTCGTCATGTGTGTGTTTCTGTATTTCTACCTCTCAATCTCTCCCTGCCCTGTCTGTCTTGAAGAAGGATTCCTCTCTCACGCTCTTTCTCTCTCTCTCTCTCTCATTCTCTCTCATCTCTCCCCTTTAGTCAAAAAATTGCCATGCGTGATTGAAAAAAAACATCATGTATCTTTCAGTACATAAAGACGAGTTTCAGAAGTGTTTCTTGAGGTTTTATTTTGCCATTTCTTTCTGCAAAGAACCAGTTGCCATCCAATCCTATAGAACCGAATCTGAACAGTCTATTTATCCATAGCTGGGGAGGAGAATATTTCATATTTCTTTTACCAAAAGTAATTAGCACGTAAGTGAATCTAATGGATTTTCTTTTTAGAATTCTTTTCCGGCTCTCAGATGTTGGTAGATATTTCATCTACCACGGTCTGTATCTTGTCATATGTAAGTTATTTCTGTTTTTCAATCTTGGACTGCTTGTCTGTCTGTCTGTCTGTCTGTCTCATTTCCTCAGGTGTTTTGTGTCTCTATCGAGTCATAATTCCTCTCTGCTTCACTGAGATTTTTTTATATTTATCATTTTTTTCTTTCAAACTTTACTATTTTTCTCAATTTTCCTCCTTTTACTAATGTTTTTTTTTCATTTTGTCTTTTCGTTTGCGTTTTTATTTGTGCAGTTCCTATTTATTCTTTCAATTTTTTCTTCATTTCGTCATTAAAAGATTTCTCACCCTGTCTCTTTGTTATTTTATAATAACTATTCCATTTCAATATTTCAATTGTTTGTCTCCCTATAGGATTTTTTATACCTTTCCTGATTCTCTCAATTTCTTTTTTATTTCTTTCTTTCCTTCCTTTTTCTTTTAGCGATTATTCTTTTCCCCCTCCCCTCAAAGGATCATTTATTTCTTTCAGTCCATCCTTTTTCATACTCCAATTATTCTTTCCTCTTCCTTTCACTTTATCTGTTATTCCTACTTTCCTTCCTTTTTCATCTTCCAATTATTCTTTTCATCCTATTTACAATTTATCTGTTATTTCTTTCTTTCCTTCCTTTTTCATCCTCTAATTATTCTTTTCCTCCTCCATTCAATTTATCTGTTCTTTCTTACTTTCTTTCCTTTTCATCCTTTCATCCTCATTGATTCGTCCTCCTCCTTTCAATTTTCTGTTTATTTCTTTCTTTTTTTCATCTGTTATTCTTTTCCTCCTCCTTTCCTTTTCTTTTTCTTTTTATTCTTTTCCACTCCAGCGTTTCAATTTCCTCTGTTATTTCTTTCTTTCCTTCCTTTTTCATCCTCAATTATTCTTTTCCTCCTCCTTTCAATTTATCTATTTTCTTTCTTTTCCTTCTTTTTCATCCTCCAATTATTCTTTTCCTCCTCCTTTCATCTGCTATTTTTCTTTCCTTCCTTTTCATCCTTCTTTTTTTCCTCCTCTTTTCCAATTTTTCTGTTATTTCTTTCTTTCCTTCCTTTTCATCCTCCAATATTCTTTTCCTCCTCCTTTTCAATTTATCTGCTTTTCTTTCTTTCCTTCCTTTTTCCTCCACTTCCTCCTTTCAATTTGTTATTATTTTTTCTTTCTTTCCTTTTCATCCTCCAATTATTCTTTTCCTCCTCCTTTCAATTTATCTGTTATTTCTTTCTTTCCTTCCTTTTCATCCTCCAATTATTCTTTTTCTCCTTTTTTTCACATTTATCTCCTTCTTTCACTTTCTTTTCTTTCTTTCCTTCCTTTTTCATCCTCCAATTATTCTTTTCCTCCTCCTTCCTCCTTTTTCTTTCTTTCTTTTCTTTTTCCTCCTCCTTTCCATTTTCTATTATTTTCTTTCTTTCCTTCCTTTTCATCCTTTCAATTATTTCCTTCCTTTTTTCTGTCCTCCAATTATTCTTTCCTCCTCCTTTCAATTTATCTGTTATTTCTTTCTTTCCTTCCTTTTTTCATCCTCAATTA